CCCGCCTCCTGCCACCTGTGGCTTGTGCTTTCCCTAACCTCTTCATCACCCTTCCTTGACTTCAGGGCCCTGTGGAAGAGCTGGTAATTGGCAGCCTGCTCCCATCTTTGCCTTGGCCTCCTCCCCTCGCCGCCAGGCTGTAGCCGGGGAAGAGGAACATGCAGTGGGGGAGACAGAAGCACAGAAAGGAGGAGCCCATGGAGTGACCCCGTCCTGTGCAGTTTCTGGGCTCTGTGATTTGATTTGCTGGCTGGGCCTGGCTTGGTTGGAACCTCCTCCCCTCCCCCAGTGAGGTCCTGCCCTTTTCCTGGATGCAGCTGCCAGTTCAGTGGCTGAGTGACCCGGCTCTGCAACCTGCAGGCTTTTTTGGCCATGTATGTTTGTTGCTGCTGCTCCCTACCCTCTCCCCGAGGCTGTGGCATAGACCATAATCATCTAGGCGGATACATGCCCTGAGATGCCTGCTGAATTTAAAACCATCTCATGCCTATTTGAGACTGTCACAGAGGTGTTTATCCCCCTCCCTCGCCCTCTTCTCTGGCCGGAGCTGCCATTTCGCCTGCTCATTGACATGACCCCCAACCCTGTGCATCTTTTGGATTCCTCCTCTTGGATTCCTTTGCGAGGCAGATCACTTTTCTGTAAGTCTTGCACTAGTGGAGTTCGCAGCAGCTATTCAACATTCGCGCTGAGAATATTTCTCTCTCTCTCCTTTATTATCGCCCCTAAAGTTGCAGCCCAGGATTTGACAGAAGGGCTCACAGTCGTAGGCTGATACTTCCCCCTCTCCCCTAGAAGCTGCTGACTTCTCAAGTGCCTAGGCACTGTGCTCAGAGCCAGTGGTGAGTAGCTGGGGAAGATGACGCTGTATCTGGCTGGAGGAAGGCAAGCGAAGCCGTCCCACGCCTTGTCGGCCCATTGAAAGTTGGACTTGGCAGCGGAGACGTCAAAGCAGGTGTGAGAATGCCACGGCAGGATTTGCCAAGGACTCCTCTGTTCATGTCTGCGAAGCCAGGAGCCAAGGCAGGGGAGAGATGAAAAGCACAGACGATGTAATAGTGCCTCCCCTCATGAAAGCAACACGTCCCCTGTTTCCAGCGTTTGTCCTGTGCCATGGCAGCAGCTGTTGGGCTGAGGTGGCATTCATTTCTCTACGCTGTGAGTTAGCAGTACTTGGAAGGGAGACAGTTGTACCGTACTGCACATAAATGTGTCCCTTGTTTTGAGCTGCCAGTGCCTACCCTGCTAAAGTGTGTGGCCTGGTTATTCCGTCCTCTCCCCTCCCCACCACCTCCAGAGGATCTTCTCTGGAAATTCCCTCCTGAACCTCTTCCAGCAGTTCAAACACCCCTTCTCTTTCCCAGGCACCTTTGCAGCTCCCTTCTAGGGACGTTGTGGAATCTCCATCACTGAAGATATTTAAGAGCAGATTGGACAGACACCTGTCAAGGATGATCTAGATGGTGCTTGGTCCTACCATGAGGGCAGGGGACTGGAGTCAGTGACCTCTTGAGGTCCCTCCCAATTCTAGTGTTCCATGATTCTCCCACGTTCCCTTCTTCCTCCTTCACCTCCCCCAAACACCGCCAGCCCTAAACTGTGCACACACTATGGCTGGAAGAGCTTGTGCTAAACAAGTTCCTTACTCCAAGTGAAAGCTACAGCCAGCAGCTCTCAGCTCTGTATTCAGGAGACCCTGCATTAGGGGCGACCTTTTGAACTACACCCACTTTGAGGGTGTTCTTGGAAGCCCTGTGCCACTGAAGGTTGCTTTATGTTGGCGAAAGGTCCGAAATATATGCACATTGACTTTGCTATCTAGGTGAATGTCCCAGGCATAAGTCTGCTAGGTTTGCCTTAGCTCAACAAACAGGATGTGGCCTATAAGTGCCTTGTGTTATAACCAAACTACTTTAATATAAACCTGCTGTAACCTATTATAATAAACATATAATCGAAACCATAAGGAAATAATAAATCTACAAGAATATATAGGCAAGCAAGCAGATTAGCCCTATAAGCTCCAGAATCCAGATGAAATGCTGCTCAGTATCTCATGCTTTTAATGAAAACACCTAAAAGACGCCACTGATTTTTAAAAACATTAGCATTTAGAGTTAGCTTCCTACTGAAAAACAAACAAAGGCAGTAGTTCTGTGGCTCTTGCATTGAGCATTGCCATGACATTGCCAAATGGATTCCTGTTTATTTTTTAAAAAAGTTTGTCTAAAAATAATAAATCAGGTTTTGGGAAATGAGCCCTGGTAAATTCGGGACCAAATTTTAGTGGAACCATAAGGACACATCTACACAGCAGGTCAAAAGTCAAAGTAAGCTACACAACTTGAGCTACATCAATTGAGTAGCTGAAGTCGAAATAGCTTAATTCGGCTGTTGGCATTGTCTACACAGCAGGAAGTTGAAGGAAAAACACTCATCCTTTGACTTCCCTTACTCCTCGTGAAATGAGGGTTATAGGAGTTGGAGTAAGAAGTCCTCTAGCTCACCATTACTTTGAAATAATGCCTTGCAGTGTAGACATGATCTTTGTTATTTTAGAATAATGTCACTTATTCAGAAATAATGCTGCTGTGTAGACATAACCAAAATGACTGCCTAAGGTGTACCATGGATATAAGTGGTAAAACTAGTGAAACTTCCACTGACCCAACATTATAGGTGGGTGACCCAGATAGCTTAATTTTTAAGCAGAAGTGGGTCACTATAGAAATTGTTGCAGGAAAAACAACCAACAAGAAGTTGGAAGACAAAGTAGGTACTGGTTCCTTATATGCTCCTGGCACCGATTGTCCTGCCTCATGCCTTTCTAAGCAGCATTGGCAAATCATCATGAACTTCATGATATTTAGTGTGCGTAAGGCTCCCACGTCATCTTGTTGTATGACACTCCTTTTCTTTTTCTGTTCTTTGAAAATATCTTTTTAGTCCTCATGACATTGGCACAGAGGTAACTGGAAAACAAAGGCAAACACAATAACCTATTTAAAAAATGCAACTGGTTATTTTTGGTGGCCTGGCTTAAGGTTTTTGAACAGCTCAGTCATCCAATGCTGTGCAAGTAACACTTATTTTGTACACAGCTCAGTGCCAAACTGCTGCACGTTTCACTTAGATCATTTCCATAACTATCGAATTTGGCCCAATACACTACAAAACAACAAAGGAAATTTAGTATTAAACCAACTTTCTAATGTCATTAAGGGCTGGATTAACCTGTGAACCCCCAGTTTAGAGTTAATGTTTACTCACCCTATTATGCATAGAGCATGTTTGGGGTCTCAACGCAATATCATGAGCCTTATTCTTGGCTCTGCAGATGCAAAGAGATCATTGACCTAAACAGTCAGGACCCCTGGGGATTCCCTCAGCATATTACTCCACTTGCAGTCCCTGGCATGGAGTGGAAACTACAGGGAACGAGTACACTGGCAACAGCTCGACTTTTCTATATTCCTGGCTGCCCTCTGGGCTGTAAGCAGTTGAATATAAATGAGAACTGTCCTAAGGTGGCTGAATGAGCCAGTCCCCATAGAGTCTCAGAGCTGTGGAACCACAACATTGGCATAATAGAAGTTTGTTCTCTCCCACTTTGAGTTCTTTACTAAGCATAGTTCAGCCGTATGTACTGCCAGAGTGACCTACATTGTCGTGAGTTCAGGATGGGGCTGAAATGGTAAACTCTTGAATTCTTTTCTTTGTCAGGTCAAGTCACACCCCTCTTGAGTTATTCTATCAGGGCTGTAACACAGAGCTGTTATGATGTATTGTGTCAGAGAACAATATAATAGCTCTGACAACCTGTCGGGCCAATGCCTTAATATGTATTACACAATAAAATATAATGGCTCCAAAGGCAGCATTAAAATCGGTCAAGTAATCACAAAGCACCTTATTAATAAGCCTCTTCAGGAAAGCTGCACACTCGGTATATGTGGAAAAGAAGGGTTTGATAGTACAGGTAATTATTATTATTGTGTGGTGTATATATTTGGTACAAAAGTGAAAGTAGGATCTTTTTATGCAAGAAATGATTCAAACACATTGTGTTACAAAGAAGGTGTTCTTACATATTATTGTATGTGTTTTATTATTTAGGCGCTATGCACTTACAGCCAAAGTTTCAGCTTTAACATCCAATATACTTATTTTTGTAGGCTTAAGTCAGAGCCTTAATGTTATCCAAGTAGTATTTGGTGGTGTAATGAGTATATAAAATGCTGTTTAAAAAATAATTTCATATAGCACAAGACGGGAAAAACCAGTACATTCCTGTAAACAGCCACTTAAGATGTGGGCAATAAATAAATGACTGTAATAAATAATTTGCCATGTCTGAGCTTAAGTATTTGGTAGGATGTTGAAGAAGTGGAGGATATTCTTTTTCTATTGCATCCTGAGATGCCTTCAGGATGACTGGCGCTAGAGGATTTTACTAAGTCCTGGGACAAGAACTGGGAAGGCTTACACAAGTATAAAGGACTCTTCACCTTTCTTCCCTCTCTTTGTGTCTCCCCAGCCCCCCAAATAACACTCACAAATATGTGGCTTTCTAACTTGTGAAATTAAATAGACTCTTTAAGTCATGACTGACTTTATAGATTATCCCTAGCAAATGTGTGGAAGAATGAGCCCTGAGAGCAAAGGGTCAGTAAATGCAATTAAAGGGTTTCTAGTTTCTCATTGGCTACTGCAAGTAAAGTGTTTTGTCTTTCCACATTCACCGATAGTCCTCTTGGGTCATATTTTTCTGCCCATTCTTTTCTTTTCAAACACGGAGCTTTTCTTTATATATATGATGTTGCACAAATATCAGATGTGTTGGAATTTAAATGCTACTCCAGTTGTTAAGAGATCGTGGGCTAGTACAGCAATTCATTGTAGCTTGTAATAGGGGGCAATGTCACTTTAAGACATGTGATACTTTACAGAGCAGGGATGTATTGAAATAGACTACCGGTACTTACAGCATTGTATAGCAATCCTGCTTTGTACATACAGCTGCTTTACTCTGCATTGAATGCACGGTAGCGAGGCTGCTCTGTCATTAAACATAAACTGATCCTCATCTTTAAGTACACTGGAAGCTGCAAATTATCTCAAGATCACTTCAAAGGTCTCATCAAGCAGAAGGTGACGTTAGGAGATGATTTAAAGGTGAAAATGACAAGGTTTCCACCCCTCAAAGCTTGGCCACTTTTCTGACAACACAGGCTGAGAGCTCTGATGTCTTCCTTACTCTGCAAATAGGATTGGTAACGAAAAAGAGAATTTTTTTTTTAATCCTGATAAAGAAGATTATTGGGAAGCTATTTAAAATCTCTTATTGTGGTACAGATGGATTTTAAAAAGTGTTAGATCTTTCCAATGAACACTAATAGAGTGCTCTGTTCTTGGTTGGATTTCTCAGGTAAGGAGCTTGTTTAGGATTTAAGATTCAGAAAGCAAACCTTGAGCTCATCTGATAATAACTAGAGGAATACTCACTGGTGTGTGTGTGTGTGTGTGTGTGTGTGTGTGTATTTATTAGCAAGAGGCTCTCTTTGCATAAAAACAGCGTGTTGAACAGCAGTTGTAGTGAGCTGACTAACAAGTACATGAAGAAATGAAATGCTAGAAAGGAATGTTGGGGCTTGAATAAAGTTAATTAAAATACTATAGTTTAAGGAAGGAGGTAAAGGGTATAGCAGATAAAGAATGAAAACATTGAGGGGGAGGGTATCAAAGTCTTTTATTCAGTGTTAGTAGGAATATGATACCTGGACACATTTTTAAAAAAAATTAATTGGAGCAATTGGGAGACTGTGGGAAGTTTTGTCTTGTTTCACTGTTTGGGTAGGATTTTAAAGTTCAGCTTAACTAAAACACTTTATGCTTGAAATATCAATGCATGTTAGAGTCACTTTTCCTTTGCATGTCATTGTATGAGAGCGTGGGAACACCAGAAATGACCCAAAAAAAGCCCACCCCAGCATTAATTTCTAAAGACACAGGAGGTCTGTTGTGAACTATCTGTTCAGAGGGGGTTGAATTGATGTTGCAATATTACTCAATCAGAAAACAAAGGAGGGAAAGTATACAAAAGTAAACAGTAGGAAGGAAAACTAATTATATGCTGAATAGTGCATCAGATAAACAGAACAGGGAAACAAATAGCCTCATGCTGAGGAAAATAATGTTTTCCTATTTTGCAGTTAATTATATGTGTAGTTTATTTGGGGGATTTGGATCCATTAGTCTTTAAAACTATCCTCAAATACCATGCTTATCTGTTAAAATAAGAACAATGATCTGTGCATATATTTTATTGGCACTTAAGCATCACTATTATTTTAACAGCGTATATTTCCCCAATAGAGAAATCTTTCTGATAGGTCAATTTTTTGGATTTTACATTGGGAGCTTCAATCTTTCCTAAATGCCTAGGACATACAGTGTTAAGATTTTTAGCTTTAAATAAAGTCTTTTATCCTCAGTGAACATGATGTTCCGCTGATTGGATTATTAGATAGAAAGTGGCATCATGTTATTGGCTGAATAAGGAGAATGCCTGAAGTTTGATTAATTTGGCAATATGAAATGCAGCAGAAGGTGTTATTAAAGGAACTGGACGATATGTAGCGTAGCTGAGCCTTGCAAATCCTACAATCCTTGCAGGCATTGAGAAGGAGCTGTTAAAGTCACAAAGTCTGAGAAAATTTAACCAATTAGCAGAACAATAAATTTATGGCTATATCCTCCCATATATAATATATCCAGTAGTCAAGTGTCCCAGCATTGGGAGTACACCATACCTTTTCAACAAGAGTCTCTAAATTTTGACACATGCTGCCTTAGGAAAAAGATCAAACCTCCTATCTGTTACATATAAAATTCAGTCTGGCCTTACTCTACTTCCTGATGAGCATAGGCCAAACCAAAGGAAGCGGATTTTATCTGGGGATTAGAACACAATTCTGAGAAACAATTACTTTGTTTAGCAGACAGCATTGCAATTAAAAATTAATGTGCATAGAAGTCAAAAACAATAATCTGTTACCTACTGGGTAGATATTTGCCTTGGAGTCTTGGGGATGGAGTACGCTTATCATGCATTCCAAATATCTGATAATATTGTCAGACTCTCTGAAATGTATTTAAAGTAGTTTTGATATTGTCTGAAGAGCTCATTTTTTGGATAGGATTGTAATTCCCTCTCCCTCCTCCCCGGTTAGTTAAATTGCAGAACAGTGTGGGAATATTTCCCTGGCTTCCATTTATGTTGTTTTTCTGCAAGTACTTGGATCATTAGAGTTTCCTTTGTGCCACTGAATTATTCAAGTTACCAAGTCTCTCATGATGAAATCTCTACCTCCACTCTCCTTTTTTGGGTATGACCAAATAGGAATTGCAGCCTGCAAAGGGGGTGGGCAATAGGGGGCAGAAAGAAAGTAAGACACTATAACTGTTATAATCACTGCTAACTACTGTGTGCTCTATAGATAATAATGCCTGTCTAATATTTCATTTAGAGAATGGCAGTGGTCTCTGCAATGTCTTGGGTCCTGTATTTGTGGATAAGTGCCTGTGCAATGCTGCTCTGTCAGGGATCTCTTCATCACACTTTCCAGCAGCATCACCTGCACAGACCAGGTAGGACCAATCAGCTACAGGATGTTGTAAGATCGCAGGCACTCTCTCCATGCTCCTGCCTGCCTCCATACATGGTTGAATGATCATATATGTCCCATGTGGTTATTGAACATTGATGAGTTGTCTGTCTGTGTATCTCAGAGTAGCTTTCTGATCAGCTTAATGTATGCCTCTTTGGGTATTGGAACACACCACCCGTTAACAGCCGTTTCTAACAATTTCTCAACTCAGGTGGCTGATCATGGGAAACCTATTTTAGTTAAGAATGGAATGCCTCTATTCTCTTTATTTTTTTCCTGTGTAATAGCAGTGTCAGTTTTGTCCCCCAGAGGAAATCCTGGTAGCAGATCTTTGTGTAGCTTTATTTGCTGTACCTATGTCAAACTGGACACAAATAGAACACTTACAATGATATGAGCCAAATTCTGATACAGAAGGCACCCGACTTGTGGTGCGGTTGGTTCTGAAGGAAGCGTCGCAAGTTGGGAGTGTTGTAACTCGAACCCGTGTTCATGGTAGACGCTGTGCACCATTGTAAATGTGGGCCTAGGATATAAGTCGGGGGGTTCTGGCCCCTTCTGCACTTACAAAAATGGTTGTAAGTGTGGGGTGTCGGAACTCGGGCTGTTGCATCCTGGGGGCCTCCTGTAAAAGCTATACCTTTTCATTCTTCCTTAAGTCAGTGGGAAGAACTGGGTATAGGGGAGAGCAGAATTTGGCCTAGAAATTTTAATTTTATTGCTGACTAGCCATGAGGTTGCAAAGGTCCAACTCTGAGTAGAAGTAAGGCCTGGGATTCTGTGTGGCTGGATGAGTATTACTGAGAGCTGTTTTAAGATTCTTTGTGCAATGGAATGGAAAAGTCAACTGATTTTCACTGACATATTATCCATATTAGACACTGTTTATAAGTGTTTTCATTACTTTGATAGTCTTCAAACAGAAATTGGTAGTGTTAATTTTCAACTGAGTTTCTTTGTGAACTGCGTATCAAATGCAAAATGTTGAAGAAATGGTATATTAAACCTCATTATTACCAATAAGGTAGACATGAGAGAGCCTCGTGTAATTTCACCTACTCTGAATCCAAGGAAAGAAGTGAAAGTTTTACCTAAGAGACTTAGAGAGTTGAAACAGATAATATTAGCTGGTAATTACACATTATTTAATTTGTAGAAGCAGGTAGACCAAAGCAGAATTAGAATAAGGCTAAGATTTTCAAAAGTGATGAGCTTTAGCCACCTAAATCACAAGAGGTTATGTCTACACAGCAGCATTATTTCGGAATAACTGACATTTCAAAATAACAAAATGCATATCTACAAGCAAGCCATTATTTTGAAATAATGTCGAGCTGGAGGACTTCTTACTCTGACTCCTGTAACCCTCATTTTACAAGGTGTAAGGGAAGGTGAAGGAAGAGTGCTCTTCCTTCGACTTCCTGCTGTGCAGACAGCGCCAAAAGCCGAATTAAGCTATTCTGACTTTAGCTACACAATTGATGTAACTGAAGTTGTGTATCTTAATTCAGATTTTGCCCTGCTGTGTAGATGTACCCTTAGGCACATTTGAAAAAAAAATTGCCTTACTTTTTAGCAGGTCTAATGTCCAGAAAAGGTTATTTCCCCAGTTGTTTTAATTGCACAAAAGTAATATGTTTTGGGGGATATATTTTAGCCTTCTCTCAGTAACATAACATAAAATAAGTATTATCTTAGCCCAGAGGAAAATAGTTCTAAAGGTTTGTGTCATAGGCTTTTTCTCATGAACAACTATTATGTGTTTTGTGTTAGTATTAGTTGCCGGCATTTTAAAGTTAGGGAATACATTTGGATGTTCTTTTTGGACTACTCAGAGAAATGCCCTATTAAGACACAATGCTGAAATCACCATTGGTGAACTGAGGCTGTTCCCCGGCTAAATAAATAAATAAATAACTACTTGCCTAAATAGGCAAAAGGAAAATGTAATCTCATTTTGTAAAATCTGTTGAAACAAATGGCATGATGAGAAAAAATGAGAGCCTGGCAGATCCAGAGCATCCCCACATTTGCCTAAGCTTGAAAAATCACTTCTTTTATGAAGCAAGAACTGTAAGACATTGAATGCATACCAAGTATTGGGGAAATGTGGAAAATGACAAATCTTTCACTCAGAGCTGTGATACAGATATAGTGAAGGTTTTACAGCTGCCTCATCACCTGCTTAGGAACCTCTGAGATTTTCCTCTTGCGAGCCTTTCTCAGGCAGCTACTCCACACCCTGCATGAGTAAGATTGATGGTGTTCTGATCCCAGGCAGCCAATTTCAGTCTCTCAAGAAATAATCCAGTACATTGACAGATGAGTGGAATTTGACATGGTGTTCACCTCTGATTCAGATTGCTCCGCACCTGGAAAGTACCAGCTAGGGAGGGTCCTTTAGAGGGAACAGAGATTTTTGGATAATTTCTACAGTCAGAGCATAAAATCAAGACAATGTTTTTATAAGGTCATGAATTTGCAGTCTGCTTACTGAATGCACTAGGTTTGTACATAAAAGGAATGGAAATACGTTAACTAGAAAACGGACGGATTTTAATGTATTCAGCTATAGTCCCAAAGCACTTCCTATTTATAATATTAGGAATGTGTTTGTTAGTTACTGTATGAGTAAGATTAAAACGTTCATCCAAATAAGGATTAATAAAAATCGATGCAGATAAACTAATGCACAATTTCAGTAATTTGATATTTATGAATATAAAGTTTTGAGGTATGGCAAAAAATAGCAGTAATCAATAGCAAATTCAACATGGTTTTTCTCATTTTGTGGGATTACATGGATATTAGTCTGATAATTAATTTGAGAGATATTCTGAACAATTAAAAAATCAATAGTGGAACTACTTAAGCATAGGGTAATTAAAAGAGGCAGATCCTCTCTGTCTTGTGACTTTTGTACTTGATACATTCAAGAGTATCCATTAAATACAAGTAAATACAGTGTTGAAAAATCAAATTCTGATTTAATGGATTTTGCCTAATAAACTTGGATTTAATTGAATAGATCTATGCATTGAATGCATCTGTTTCTAATACCAGGGTTAATTCAGTGACAAAACACTATGGATTTCTGTCATGGGTCACGGAAAGGCGAATTTACCAAGTACAGTAGTCCTTCTGTATTAAAACATTCTTAAACATTGCAAGTCTTAGCCAGAACCTGGCGATGGAATGGATCACATGATGATTATTTGTTCTGTTCATTCCCTCTGGGGCACCTGTCCTTTCAGAAGACAAGATATTGGGCTAGGTGAACCAATGGTATGACTCAATATGGCCATTCTTACATCCTAATACTTTTAGATAAACTTTTTCATATTATACATGCAAACGCAAGTTTAAATTTTCATTTCACTGCACTATATAGTTCTATAATTTAACATTTTGGTAACATATAGATGAGTTGGCAGAAGGTACAAAACTGCAGACAAAGGACAACACATTTTATGTGACAAAATGTATAAGCGACTGTAGCTTTACTTTTTGTGAAATAGTGGCTGAAGGACACATGTAGAGTATATTAAATAATACTATAACTTTGTGTATAACATTGTACATATACATGGACTGTTGTCTTCCTTGTCACATTAACACAAAGGTTGGAATGCATATAACTATGTCTTAGTAAGGTATGTAATAATGGTCAATGTTATTTTAAAATGAAATAGGTCAGGTGTGTAAGTGGAGATTTTCTCCCTCCTCTGGGCTAAGACTCAAAGGACAAAGTCTTAATTTACTGTACACTGGAATAGCTTCAATGTAGTATAATTCTCTTTCGATAATATTGTCTCCTGCTGATCCTTATATATATATATAATTCATTTTCATGACACTTATACAAAGCATGTATGAAAACATTCATAGGATATATCTTTAGGTAGAGCTATCTATGTTCTCGGAGTACTTAGTTTATTTAGAAGTTAATAAAAAAAAACCACTGTTATGAGAACAATTCCACATTGGCCATTTTAGGCTCTGGCATACATACAATTCTATGGCTGTTGAATTGACCTGAGGATTAGCCTGGACAGGTTGTGATTTAAAGAGTTAGCTAAGTGCCATGATAGTCCATTGATCATCTGATTGACAACATTGATTCACTTCTACAGAAATAGGAAGTAGACATTGAGATTTGGAAAGTCACTAAGGCCAGATCTAGACTATGGGATAAGTCTGAATCAAGATACGCAACTCCAGTTAACTGTCGACATATTTTGATTTGAACTTTGACGCCATCCCCGCAGTGGGAGGTTGATGGGAGAAATGCTCCCAGCAACTTCCCTTTTTACTCACAAGGAGTAGGAATAATGGTACCAATGGGGGCAACTTCAGCATTCAATTTAGCAGGTCCTTACTAGACCCGCTAAATCGAAAGCCAGAAGATCAATCTCCAGAACATCGATCTGTGGGTAAGTATAAATGTATCAGCAAAGCAAAAAAGAGTCTTAAGGATGCAAATAAATATTTGCATCAGTGTCACAAATTTTTTTTAAAAATATCCCTCATTGTTCTATTATATACAAAAGAATTATTTTTCAATTCACCAAAGAAATTTCATTAGCATAAAATCAAAATGGCACATATACTGGTTGTGCCTTGAAGTAACACAAAAAATTGCAAGTTACAATCACCTGGACATTACATCTTTTAGCCCAGGCAGAATAATTTGTTAAAGATCCAGGATGCCAAGTTGGTCCTACATGGATTTTATAAAATATAAAAATGTGGGCTAGAAACATAGACATACTGTAACAAAGTTGACATTTGAAAAGATGTTAATTAAAGAAATAAGCCTATTCAGAGAGGGAAAGATAGTTGTATCAGCATGAGCTGGCTTGGCTTGTATCAGTGAAGTTGCGGTTGGCTTTCTCAAGGCAGCATGCCAAAAAAGTGCCTCGTAGTTTCTTTCTTCCATTTTTTTTCTCTACTGGCAGTGTTTCATTTGCTACTTTGTAC